AAGGCCTTACCGTTTCATCTACATCCATACGTTTCTCTTCCAAGATGGTTCCTACAGTCACTGACTGTGCTTTTCCTAAGCCTTGCTTATTAATGAGGATTCCCAAATTTGCATTTCTTCAGCAGGCTAAGGACAGGGGACATAAGGTCTAGGGACACAAAGAGGTCATTCATTCCTGGACTGCTCCCTGATTTTGAAAGAGCACAGACAAAAGTGTCAAGAAACAAGAAAAAAGTGTAGTATTAAAGTAGCAGTGAAGCGAGGGGAAGGACAAGTTTATCTTACTTTCTTGGAGAACCTCCCTAAAACAAGTGCAGAAAAAGAAAAGGCACAAAATGATGGTAGCGCTAATACTAATACTACAAAGAAAGAGGCTCAGGATCCACGGAGCCCTGACATACCCTGTGAAACGAGCTTGGATTAGACAGACTCCTCTTAAACAATACAAATGCAATTGCTATGTGGACTTTAAACACTGAAAGACGGAAGAAGATTTTGTTTACTGCAAATACATTTTCATGTACCTTAATACCCAAAAGTAAAATAGAGGCTGGATTTATTCTGAAACATGGTCAGGAATTTTAAAACAGGCTTTTGTATACACAAACAAAGGGAGCATGGGAAACAAGAGCTTGGGAGTTACTTAAATGTCAAGGATTACATCGTACCAGGTAAAACTGAAATGTAGCAGAGGGACTCGGTTTCATAAATGAAATGTCATTGCTGATGGGTACAAATTATATAAGAAAAATGGAAAGGGAAACAGAGGTGGCACTTTGTCAGATGCATTTATAGCTGCAGCAAGATACAGTTCAGCCGCAAAGAGAGCAGTCGTAAAAAAATAAAGAAAATAAAGAAAAACTGAAGTGGACATCTGCTACAGCCTACTCCAGCAACGAGCAAGCAGCAATGAATTAGTCTCTCTCAAGGTACTCAAAGCCACAGGACACTGTACTTGTGGGGAATTTAGCTGCCCACACATCTCTTACCAAGCCCTACCAAACATTGGCCAAAGACGTTCATGTGTTACACAGAAACCTGCTCTAATCCAGACAGTACAGGTTCTTGACAAATAAACAGAAAAATCCCCCCAAAACAGGAACTGTAGCTGAGAAACTAAAAGTGACACCAATGAACAAACTATCTGAATGTAACATAGTAAAGAGTTTATTTGTTTGACTTAGAAAAGGTCTCCGGCATAATTCACTGGACACATGTACATTAAATATACAAATGCATACCAAAAGAAACCCAGAAGGCACACATTCAGCCAAGAGGCTCATTCAGAACCACTCACCATTTCACGCCAGAAAGAAAGAGCTGTGAGCCCCAGCTTCGTAACTCTCTCTCCAAAAGCAGGACTGCAAGCGCAGGCCCCATGGTTTATGCCACACAGATCAGCAAACCTGGGCTGACAAGCCAGAGAATAAGCAAGATCCGGAGAACAGGGGTCCTCTTGAGATTGTCCAGGGTCAGGACACAGATGCCAAAGAGAGCTAATCTTGTTCTTTAAAACAGCAACAGAACAACAAATGTCTCCCATCTTTCCCGCTCCCTTGGGAGGTTAGTGACTTGGTTGTAAGAGGTGGCTTCTTGGGCAAGGACCAAATGATAGCTATTTGAAGGCTGCTGTAGGTACTGCTGTACCTTCAGCCTCTGCTAGCAGACTTCCAACAGAACTCATAACCGCTGGTCCTTGCCCCTCTGCCCCCCAGCACCATCAACCACATTTTATCTAGAGAGTGATAGAGATTCATTTTACAGGTCACAGCTTCAGGTTTCTAGCACTTATCAAGAACCACAATTAGCAAAACTACTCAAAAATAAATGCGGTCACCTCATCCAGACTCAGATCTGTTTCACAGGAGCAGCCAAATAGTCCAAGTTCAGCTGATCTTATCTTCAGGGAAGAACAAGTTCCACCAGAGTCTGAAACATCCACTCTGGATCAGCAAGGCTGCATGCATCCCCAAAGAGTCACGCTGAGTTTAAGGAGCAGATTCGTATCATGCAAGAAAGCAAGTTTGCTCTCTCAAATTAAGTAATTAAACAGTGCGTGATAAGCCTAAGGAATTCGACTAGCCCCTGGAGTCACGGCATGAGACTCGACTTCTGTGACAGAGGAAGGAATGTAAAAACAACAAGTGAACACTACATTTCAGGAACTGGTGTGGCAACAAAACAGAAGACAAACAGATGAGAGACTCTCTCTGGAAAGGAGATCCTGTTAGTTGACAAGGTTCAAGAAAAGTGCTCTCACATCCGTCGTAGGAAGGAGAAAGTAAAGCACATTAATAAGTAAGCACAGAAGGAAAGGAAGGGCAAGTGAAATCAGCCTCTTGGACTATTTGTGAAGTCACTCCACCCAAGATGAAGCAACAAAGACATAAAAACAAAGAGATTAGAGGACTTCCTGGAAAACCTGACCATATATATCAACATGGTACTAATTAGTTAATTAACCTATTGCACAATTAACAAATAAATAAATATTTTAAAAGTCTGGGAGAACAAGGAAGCACCAGATGACAACGTTCTTATCAGAACGAAAAGTGGAACAATGTTGGCCTGATAAATTTATCTCTGATCTCTGCTAACAAAGTGAAATAAATACAAGGAGAGAAAAAAAATCTTCCAAACATCTGGAGAATAACGGAACTATAGCAAAATCAAGCCATTTTAGACAATCCTACAAACATACAGCGAGTAGCTTTTGGCACATGAGCCGTACACCTGAAGCCAACAGGATAACTCACCCATTAAGTTACTTCTACGTCCAAGTGATGGTGTCATTTCCAACACCTCTTTTCTCCCATTACCAGGAACGATTTTAGAAAACACTGCTGATAATAGGAGCTCACTGACCCAGCTGTGAAACTACAGCTTGTTCCCAGAAGGCTACACAGAATAGCTATACAGAGTAGCAAGCATTTAACCCACTGAGTGAGGATGAGTATGTTTAACAGAAGGCACAATACCTTTGGTACTTTAGGGTCTCAAGGCATTCTACACAGTAAACTCAAAACAGACCTGCTTGCCATTCAAGTTAAATACACTTCCAGGAAAGGCAGTTAATCAATTAATCAATCAATCAATCACATTTTGTCATCAACTACAGGCAGCTGTTTCAGTGTAACAACCACTACTGCAACCCAGCACCTAGAACAGTCTTTGGAACAGCTTGTTCTGTGTTGGGAGTGCAGCAGTTGCCTTTGCTGTGAATTCCTTGTGCACTGAAAAACCCAAATGGTTTCTCTAAACAAAAAGAGAATAAAACCTGTGTTTTTCTGATGTCTGAATAGTTTTTTTAGCAAGTAGGCATGTAAGTTTTCAGGTGTCTACTTACAATTACGATTTATTTTTCTTAGGTATCACAAAAGGGCTTATTTATGACAGCAGAGTATGTAGTTTAGATGGCAAGAAAGCAGAGTGAAGCATCAATCCACACACTGAAGAAAAAAAAAAACCCGCTTCTCCATTCTGTTAGTGGGTAGAACTGGAAGAGGGCCAGTGAACAAGAGGACAGGGGTGTCAAACAGGTCCATATAATGAATAGCTACATATACCATGAACCTGCAACTTGGAAAAAGTGATGACTGAGGACATATATGATATAAGTCTGTAAAATCCCAAGTGGCAAGGAGACAAGGAATAGGGGTGGTCATAACTACATCTGACAGTGGAAGAATAAGGGTCACTCGATGAAATCATCAAGAAAACCATTAAAACAGCCTGACAACAGTTCTTTCTCATACCACACAATGAACTCAGGGTTCATTGCCGCAGAACACTGTGGAGGCCAAAAGTAGAAAAGGATTTTTAAAAAGGGACTAAGTGCATTCATTAAGGCCAGGTCCAGAAGGAACTGCCAGTTCAGAAAGTCCATAGACTGCTGGAACGGAGTCAGAGAAAGACCTGTGTATACAAGCTTTATATTTCATGCTTCTGTGATCACCTGTTACTGGCTATCCTCTGAGACAGGATAGCAGATTAGATGGCCTTTGGTCTGATTGCATGCAGTGCTTCTTATGGATCAAAGCTCTTAATTTTGGCATGATTTAGCGTTTGGAAAGGTTAACTTAAAGAAAAAAAAAGGAACATTTGAAAAGCTTGTATGCCTCCTCAGTTTTCCTCTTTCAAGCCTCAAAGATGTGCTCCTTAATCATTCAGTTTCCATGAATGGTAAAGTATTGCTGAATTAGCAACAAACAGGATCTCGTAACAGCCACTGAAGGGTGCATTATTGCTCCCAGATCCTGCCCAGTCCCCCTTATAAGGCATTTCTCTTGACCCAGTCTCAACTGCAGGCTAAACATCCCCCTATATTCCATTTTTTCTCTTTACTACGTTCTTGCTAAATCACTTTGTTCGACTGCTATATTTATGACATGAAACAGATAAGATACTAATCTGTTGGCCTCTGCTAGCTTAACCCTTCTCCCTGACCACTCATTTCTGTGTGGATAAGTGACAACAGGCATCTACAGGAAGACTCCTTGTGGACAAAGGATTGCTATGCTGTCTGTAAACATCCTTATTTCACCCAGAATTTGCCACTTCGATTGGATTTAGCCTTCCAGCCAGTCAGACCAATACATTTCTGCAGTGCAGTAGAGTAAACAATGCAACACAGTGATTCTGAGTCTGTAGCTAGACAGACTGAAGTAGCAGCACAAGTAAGTTAGAAAATCTCCTGCATTTATCTGGACACAGAGCAAGCTCTGAGACCAGTCATCACAGTTGTTTTTATACATAAAATATGTGTGCACACAGACATATGGACTAATACATTCATCACTAACCCTCATTTAAGGGACCGACCATCCAAAGTCTATGCTTCACCCAGTAAATGTGTTTTAACTGGGGGTGCCAGGTGCATCCAGGACCGCGCAGTGGCTCGACAGACCACTGTGTGAGGACATGGCTGTAGGTTCAAAATCAATCAAGAGGTTACTGTTCCAGCATGTTCAGTCTTCAGTTCTCCAGACAATCCTTCCTAATCAAGATAACACACAGGTAGATTGTTTGGTTTTATCGCTCGTAGTGGAGTTTGGACCCAGGTTACCTGGAATGAAAAGAAGTTAAAAGTAATGTTAATGTTAAGTAAATACGACCTGGATAAAGTTTGGACTCACGCTTCAATCCTCTCTCGTTACTTACTATACACCTTGTGTTAGACCTACATTACTCTGCACTTTCTCGTGATTTCATTTCCTACTACTGTGAAATGAAGAGATATTAAAATAAGAGCAAATTCAGAGTATACTGTGGAGAAAACCACTGGAGAAGTATTTCCAGGCTTTGGCCTGTACCCAGGCCAGCTTCAGTGTATTCTCAGGTCCCAGCCGGCACTGAAATACAGTCTGGACATGACTTTGGTGGGACATTTTCCAAAGAGTGAGGGATGAAAAAAAAAAAAGTCAGGTCATCTCATCCATTTGATCCCCACACATATTCTGAGGAGAGGTTTTTTCACGTCCAGTTTTGAACATCTCAAGTGCCAGTATTTCCACCATTTCCTTTGCAAGAGAAATCCCAAGGCCTCAGGGTCTCTCACTTAGCTAGCATAGTACGCTGCCCAAATTTTTTATCATCTTACCTTTTTTTCATTGATCACTCTATGGATACCTTCTGCTCCCCAGTACTTTCCAATGCTTGCACTGCTGTCTGAAGAGATTCATTACAGCCAGCTGTTGGTCTGGATGCCCCAGCATATTTTTTTCAAGCACTGTACTAAAGTGTGCTTGCATAGGCTTTTGCAAGTAAAGGAGCTCTGCTGTGCTCCGAGCTCAGCGAGGCTTACTTGACATACAGCCCAGGGCAGTACGTACTGAGAGGGGCTGCCACAGAGCTTGCAGTCACTCTGAAGAAGGGCAGACCCCACTCGTGTATTTCTACAGAAGGAAGGTATATGTGCATCTCCCAAGCAGTCGGAGCCAGTGGCCAGTACAGATTGAGAACAGGGAGGGAAAACTGCCACAGGTCATGGTGACATGCTACTTGAGAAGTCTCAACCTTGCTGAGATGAGGGAGCTTTCAACCCAAGCACTGCCTCTGAACTGGGCTTCTAATGAATCATTTTTCATGTCACTCTCTTGCTTGTGGGTATTTGATCAACATTTTCCTCACCTGTAGGTGATGGGGAAGAGAAGAGCTCTCTCCTCTCCACCTTCTTCCATACTGCAACTTATTGATATCCACGTGGGAGGCTGCACTGCAACCCCCCTCACTTTTGTGGCTGCTCTGTATGCTACTGCTTCCTCCCCACAGCTCCCCATGGCATTTCATTCTACCTTCTGTCTGCACCCCCCCGTATGTTACTACTAAGTTTATCATTACTCCTATCTCCTCACCACCCCTGTTCCCCTGTCTGTCTGTATTACATTCAAGACCCTCATGTTTACTTTCAAAAGCGTCTGTGCTGCTCCGCTTAATCTCAACTCCCAACTCCTTTATTCTTCTCACTTTCTACTCTTGTCTTCTGACCTTTTTCTACGGATCCCGCTACAGTTAGAGCATACACCCTACTTGTATGTACCCAACAATGTTCCCCTCTTTCTGTTTAGAACAGAGGCTGAAAATTCCAGTTACCACCTGACCATGATCCCACTTCGGCTGAAAAACACTGGTGATAACTAAGCAGCTGTTTCTGCAGTATTGCAGTGTGCAGTGTAAGTCCCCTTTTTTGTTGCAAGAAGCACCCAAAAGTGAAACATGAAATTCTGCTATTAAGTATATGTGTTCTGCAACCAACGCTTAGGAGGAGTGAAGGCCAAGTGAAACTCAGGATGGCAGGCCCTCCTGAACGAGCCCACTTTGCTTCTTGCAGAGAGGAAAACAAAACAAAAAGCCAGCACCTTCCAAAGGCACACAGCTTTCAAACCCTTGCAGTATTTCCCAGAAACTGCACACAGACGTCAGTGTCTTTGCTGATCACAGTCTGCCCAGCAGCAGCTTAAAATTAACAAGATTCTGGTCATGTTCAGAGCTGCTGCTGTTGTGTTCCTAAGCGGGCAACAGTGAAATTCAAGAGTTGTGTCAATTTGATGATGTGGTTTTAAGAAAGCCTTGTAAGAACAGGCATTCTCAATTTGTCATGCAGTGTGCTAGGACAACACCTCAGGATGTTAATTTGGACACTTAGTTTGAGACATTACTATCTGTAGCCCTTGTATTTTCCAGACTCCCAATTCTGACTTGTAGGTATCATTTCCTAGCATGCAAATACCCAGTCAGATTTTCAGACTGTCGCAGAGTGTGCTTTCATCAATTCCCTTCCCAGTTCAGATTCTCTTCATCACCATTTGCTCTTACAAGACTGAACCTGACCTTTAGCCTGCTTGAATAATGTCTTTCAATTACTCTGAGAGCTACTCCGGGTGTGGATCTGGTCCCCCTATGCATTTGCAAGGTGGGATGTGTCTCTGTGGTACTACAGAATTAATAGTGTCTTTGGAGGATGTGTGCACAGGCAGGCCCACAGGGCTTAAGTGTGCTGTTTAGTCTTTACAAAAGGTAAGGGCAGCTATTTCAAACTGTGAAGCTCTGAATAATTGCATCCTAACTTGACTGCATACCAAGAACCTTCCCTCTCCTTCATTTCCACTTCTTACCTCCCTTCTGTCACCCAGAGTATCACAGCATCAGTTTTTACAAGACCTGCTCAAAGATAACTTAGATCAGTCTTACAGTCCCCCAAGAACAAAGTACCTCCTATTTTTATCTTGAAGCTGGAACTCTATTCCATGCCCATGTTCAAGACTTCTTTATTAAATCTTAATGAAGTATGTCCTACTGATCAAGTAGCTGCAGGATCCTCTGCGTAACTCATTTTTTTCCTCTTTCTCATGAGTCTCCATCTTTCTATTGTGCCCTCTATCATCTCTGTTCACATGCCACTTTGGGACCACTAGACTAGAGAAGCTTTCTCTCAAGAACACTGATGCAATTCAAAAGCAACACACAAGCAGTGATCTTCCTCCAGCCTTTTACAACACCGGATGAGCTAAGTCTACTTACACCATACCTCAAAAGCTGTAGAGTCTCCCATTGCCACCATGAACAGGCATTCTCAATTTGCATAAAACCAAAAAAATACTTGCATGGACTGCTTGGAAAGACTTACCAGGTCAGGAAGAGCACAGCGGGAAGGGTGGTGGGCTGGACCTCTACGCCTTCCCTGCACCTGTTCTCAATTCTTCCTTCCCCTTTATTGGAAGAGGTGGCAGCCCTCAGGAAGTAGCAGTGGCAATAAATAAAACCTGAACATAATAGCATGATAGCGTCTTTGTGGAAATGGTCCAGACCAAGCATCAGACTGTCTGGCACAGATCCACTGTCTTAAAAGGAATAGGGACATCCCAGCTGCCCTGGCTGTGCAATGCCCCAGAAGGACACAGCACCCCACTGTTCAGCTAGAGACATCAATCTCTTTCGTACCTAAGGGGCCTAATTTCATCATGACATTGCAGGAATGGCGGGCTGCCTGCTTTAAAGCAGCTGACAGTGAGAAATGTAGGGAATCTCTGATACTGTAAAGTGCTGACAAATCAGAGATTACACAATTCCCTACTTCTGTCACTAGAGGGTAGTGCAAGCCCTCAGGTCCATTCCTCCGAGAGGAAATGCCCATACATCTCCCCACAGGTCTTCACGGATTTTGTTTTTCCTGGCTCCGAGGAATGGGGCCCAGCACCACATACTGTTTGTGCTCAAGACATAAAGTGATTTGGAGAGAGGATCTCTTTAGGCCAAGGTTTACTTCTGCCTCCCCAAATGCCAAACACACATCCTAAAATGGGTCTACTATAGTCTTAAATAAACTATCCATGCCTTCTTACAGTTCTTCTCTCCTGTGTTCATTTGGCATTTTTGAGTCTGTCCTTTATTCAGCCAGAAATATTTCTAAGAACCTAATCAATCGCTACTGTTGACCTTCCCAATACCTTGCTTTTCTTTCTGGTCTCAGGAGAACGTCTTTCCATTTCACATCATGGCAGTCTCAAGGCAGTTCAGTCTCTCTGCGCCTGTGTTTTGCATTCATCGGAGCACAGAGTAGTCTGTGGCCAGACAAGTTGAGGAGAAATTTTCTTCCTGGAACTAGGAAGAAAATTCATTTTCCTGCCTGCACAGGATGTATTGACACCCAGTACCACTCACTGAGAGAGGAAGACAACCAGGCTGAATAGCCCATAGATTTACTTCAGTCTGACAAAACATCTAAAAAGTTGGGAAGTTAAATTGGGATTCTCATAAATTGGAAGAAATCTTTATCATTTGTGTCTTCAACTGGATGAAGCCTTGGAAGGACTTAGTGAAAAATATCAATCATGCATTAGCAAAGAAAAAAAAGTTGAGATCTACTACTTCTCCATAGCTTCTGTTTTCATGACCTCCTCCCCCATTTCAGAAGGTGATAAAGTAGCAAATTAAAAAGACTTCTGCCCTCTCCTCCACTCCTTGCCCCCTCACCTCAATGTAAATACGTTTTCCTCTCTTCTCTACCGGTAACTTGTCACAGTAAACACACCCGACTAAACCCAAATGAGGAACGGAGGGGTTACACTGGAAATCTGTCTGTACCCTGCTCGCCACTACAATAGTGAACATACTGCTGCTATTTATTAGGGCAGTGCACTTCAAGAACTACACACGCAGCCTGTTTTACACACGGAGACATTCACTCCCTTTGTCCCATACCCGCTTGCTGAGAAGTATGAGAAAACATTTACATGAGAAGTACCAACTTTACAGTAAGACTGCCATTAAATTGCCTTCAACTTAAATTCCCTGTATCATTTGATACAACTTCTACTCTTCTTTAATCCTGCTCATTTTAATATAGAGGAAATAACAGGATCTACTCACAGGTGCCTATATTGGAAATATTTGCACCAATCAACCGAACTCAGAACAAGGGACACAGAAGCAGAACATGCTGGCAGAAGAGGATTTACCTGAGATGCCTCCAGTGCTCCGAACACTGGCATGGCCAATGCTGAGCCGCTCATATTCCAGTTTCATGTTCCCAAGGTCTTCTCCTGAATGTCCTTCACTGGCAAAAGAATTGGCCTCAATGCTTGAGCCTGGAGACCGTTTGGCCTTGCGACTGAAAAGCCCACTGGCAAACCGTTTTCCTTGCTTTGAATTGGCCTGTGCGTCGTCTTTCTTCACATCTCGAATAGACTCTCTGGATTTGGATTTATTTTTCAGGTCCATGTGGAGCCGGGAGAACAGTTTCTGAGGGCTCCGATTCAGCTTGTTCAAGTTCTCCAGAGGTGGATCAATTTCTGGGAACTCTTGCTCCAATGTGATTAAGTCATTCAGAAACTGATTTAACCGTTTCTTTGACTCACTTGTTTCCTCCTTTTCCATGTTCCCCTGATTATCCTGCCTGTGTCGTGAAGCCCAGAGCATCATATCACCACGGGTTGCCCCTGCCACTAAACCATACTTGGGGTTAATGAACTTCCGAGCCACGGTGGAGGAATGAAGGCCTGGCTTCCCAATTCCGAGAAGGAATGGGTTAGCAATACCCAGTTCCTTGTAGAAATTAACTTCCTCTGAGATGGCATAGAGCTCACGAAACTCAACGTCAAACATCTCCACGTGCTGTCCTGTCAAGACTAGCAGGATGTTTCTGTCAATGTGGGATGAACTCCATGTGAAGCTGAGTAGGAAACAGAACTGACATTAGATTTTTGGGTGCATACTTGATCCAGCCCACCTAACAATATCTAAGACACTACAAGCGCATATGTAGCATTGTGCCATTTGCCCATATGTCCTTGCCAAGATGGGTCAGGATACAGGAAACTCTTTATTATTGTTCTTCATTAGGCATGCAGACCAGATCTGGAAGAAAAGGCCCTAAAACTCTGAAGGACAGTTCACCCTTTCAAAAAAGCAACACTGCATCAACAGGAGGAGTCTCCAGACTGAAAACCTCACTGAAGAGAACGAGCACAGTGGCTGGTGGGGAGTCCTTGCAGACCACCACCTGATGCAGTGTGGAACTATTTCTAGCCCACTGAAATGGTCCACTAGCATGGGCATATTCCGTTCTCTCAGGAGCAGCTTGTGCTCTATGCCACCTTCTCTGTCATCCCACCCGAATTTCTACAGATGCCACACAGATTACGGAGGCTGGGATAAGAAAGGGAATGACATGGGAAGAAGATTCTCAAGCAAAGCCACAAGCTGTTCTTTACACAAAGAATGTAGCTTTGCCTTAAAGAAGAGCGACCCACCTGTATGATCCAGTGGCCACCTTTTCACCATCCACCATAAGGAATCGGGATGCCAATGTGCCTCTGATCTTCCCTGCTGGCATGTAGAACCCAACTCCTGTCACAGAACGTATGCGGATATTCTAAAAGGGAGGTGAAAAGACAAAATGTCACAATAAATAGGGCAAAGAATTAGATAATTGCCAGCTGCAAGTCTTAACATGTCACTCACATTATCTCACTACTTCTGGGACTACAGCTCATTTTGTATCAGCCACCAGAAATCAGAGGGCTGCAGAAAGGAAAGCACAGTGCCATAAGTCCTGTTGTCATACCCTGTCTATGCAAGTCACTCCCTTCCATCAGTTTATAGCCCTGTCCAATAGGTCAGCATCTTTGTAACCCTGCCTGCTGTCTTCAGCTATTCATCTCAGCCCACTGGCAAGACAATGCTTTCAAAATCAAATAATCCTCCATCTCCTCCAACATCTCCTGTGTTGTAGCTCAGAAGGCCCAGCCCAGTTCAGGGGAATGAATCAGAGGAAGCTCTGAGTCACGTCTGTCCTCTCTGAATCCTGATCCCTATTCCACAGCACTCGTGAGCTCTTCTCCAGATGACGTTAGCAGGACCACAAAACCAAGGAACTTTGCAACACCTCTGCAGTGCAAAGGACACAGTTACTTGGAGGGTAACGTATGAGACAGATCTATATTAGGTTCTTTTTGTGCTTGTGTTCTGATCCCAACAACACATGACTTGACAAAATTGGGCAAATTAGAAGACTGGACAATTTAATTATTACCGAAGAGAGGAGGAAACAGTTCTATTGCTCAAAACATAGATGTTTTCTAACTGTTATAACGAAAGGAGAACCCTGACCTTTATCATTTTGCTAAGAACCCCAAACAGTTACAGTGTCCACCCAGATTCCTCACTGTTCAACAGAGAGTGAAAAAACACAGGACTTTCTTTTAACAAAAGGAGTAGGATAAGTGTCTCTACTTTCAGCAAAGAAGAATTTCTCAAGAAGAGGAAGGAAAAACCTTTCATGAAATGAAAGGAAGTAGTTAGAAAAAGATAATACCTCTCCCCAAACCTCCTGTCTCGCACCCTGTGGCCAGCAAACCAACAAGCAATAAAACAAAGCACTACCAGGGACAGAGAAAACACAGATTAAAGGTTACATGATTTTCTACAACAGATATGTGCCTGCACGTACTATAAGAATGTATTTGCACATTGGACTGAGTGTCATTCTGCTCATGGGTCCTGACTGCATGAGGCTAAATTGCCAAACAGGCATACGTGCTGTCTAACATGAAAAAAACCCCCAACAAAACCCAAAAGCATTGACTGTCAGTATAAGTTTAGAGCAAATCATCTTGTCGCTCTGACACACAAATTTAGACCATTTTCTTCATTCCACCATCTGTTTCTGTAAGAATTCTTTAATAATGAAAAGCTAAAAGGTATTGTGATCTGCAGTAATAAATCCAGGGCTGGGAGTCAGATAGTCCCAAGTGTAATCACAGTTCTGACACCATTCCCTGTGATGTTCTAGGAAAGTCAGTTCACCTTTGCCTCATTCTTCCCCCATCTGCAGAGCAGGAGAATCATGAGGATTTGGCTAATGCTAGCACAGCCTCAGATCCCACAACGAGCTAAGTCCTATTATTATAAATCTCACTGACAGCATAAATATTGATAGGCTATAAAAATCTGCATGCAGGAACAAGTGATTGTAAGAATGCAGATTTCTTTCAAAAAACGATTTTCTGAATATAACTCTTACCTTTTGAATCTGCTCCTGTTCTCCCCACTAAAATACAGCAGTGGCAGTACAAATTCTGACTAACAGTAACTGATGATACTACTATTTTGCATTCATATATTGCTTGATCTGTCTGGAGTCCTACGTGGGCATTAGCTAATTAATGCTCCCAACACTACTGAAAGTATTATTACCCTGCTTTAAAGACGAGGAGCCTGAGAGAGAAAAAGATGAAGTGACTTGCCCAAGGCCTAGCAGTGAGTCATATGTGTGGGATGCTGAATGCAGGTTGGGCAGAGCACAGGAGAAAGGGTGCCCTTTCCAGTATTTAGAATAACATTTGTAGTTGGTTGGCTGATCACCTGAAATTTTTTTTTTTCCTTGTTGAGTAAAGCTGGATGTGGGATTTGCCAAATCATGGAATATTGGCTGCAGGTGTCAAGAAGGACCTCAAGGACCTCCGTTCTTCAAATCAGTCAACAGCTCTGACATGTCATATACCTTTGTGAATCAAGAAGTATCAGCCTGTGTGAGCAGAAAGTTTCTTAGCATGTAACAAGTGTGGATTTTATTGTGTTTGTATGTTATATCACCTTCTTTTGGTTGAAAGAAAGCACATTTTAATTTCTGCAGTAACTGAGCTACACATAACACTTAGAAAGGCACAGAGGGGATAAAACCAAACAGCTGAACACGTAAACCTCCTTGAACAAAGTAGGCACAGGAGTGCATAAATACATCTTGAAATGCAGAAAACAAGCACCAAGTCATATAAACATCGAGTCACTTAACAGGTTATTTGTATAATGTTTTCTGCCTTGAAGGATCTTGGAGCGTTTGTAGACTGATACATCAAGCTGTACAGAAGAGGAACAAGCCTGGGTTCACATACTAAAGACTACACAACAACAAAAGAGGAAAGACAAATATAAATGAGGTGAGATTGCAGCCATTTTGGGAGGGCACTAATGTTACAGTAGTAACAAATATTTTGGGTAGAGGACCAGTTAGTTCACCAGATAGAAGTGATCCCTCCAGATCTGTATTCTTGCAGAAGCCTGCTTAAGGTTTGTCATATCCTGGCTTATGGAAGCTGCAGTCTGCATTAAATTTCCACATTTCCTTTACAGGGGCTTGCACCGCTCCTCATCACAAGCAGTGACTAACGTCTCCCTGGCAGCAACTTAATATGGACTGGTAACACTCAAGCCTGACAGAGCATCCTAATACAAACAGTGAAGGAATCAGTCTTTCTTGCTTTATTGTGATGCTCTTTTAAACCTCACCCTGAATCCACAGAAAGTTAAATTAGACCCAGTTTAGAAAGTCAGTAATAGGTTGTGTTGTGACTGACACTTAGTTGTCCCTTGACAGACCTGGGCAGCAGTGCCCACAAGCTGGGGTCGAGCAGGGTGAGATACACAAGACAGACCCTAAAGGGGTTGCGTTGCAAGTACTTCCACCAGGGAAGCCTGTTGTGTACCTTCCCTCTTAGAACAACCACTGGTATATATGTTGCAAAGCAAGCGGGGATCTTTATTTCAAGTTGGGATGGATGGCATGAATGACCTCTATAAACTAACAGATGTAAAACAGATAAATGAGAGGCAACAGACAAAACCAGTAGCTGATAGATGACAGTGACTCAACAGTCCCTTACATTGACCGTGTTTTTAAAAATGTAGATATCTCCTTTCTGCTGTCCCTGGAAAAATCAGACCCCTTCAATCAATAGCATCTGCTGGGGTAGCTCTTGTCCTCTGTTCTCTTATAATACTGCTTCACCTAAGCAAAGCGCTGAGGGGCAGGCCCCAATGCCCGTCATTTCCCACTCTAAAATCCTAGATGGAGGTTTCACAGAAGGGGGAAAGAGGAAGAGAGATAAGGGATTCATGTGGACAGGACCACAGTAACAACAGACAAGGAATCTTTCTTATTCATGGTCTGCAAGGTTCTTATTTCTGGTGATCAGACCTCTAGGTCAGATAGATGGGTAGTAGGTGCTCATCTTACACAGGGACACAAAAGCAGCCACAATCTGGAAGCACCCACCAAGTAATGCTGGGAAATACTGTGGACTTATCCTATGTGTTTGCCCTGAACAGTTTTGGGAAAGGTATGCTTGTTGACAACATAGTAAAACTTGTAGATATTCAAGTAGAATAGGATGGAATGCAGCTAGCTGGACCTGGCCTGCCAAGGTCATTACTGGGTATTATTTATTTGGGTCTTTGCAAAAAGAGAGCCTTGTAAGCCCCCATTTTTGAAAGTTCACAAGCAACCTAGAAGAATTCTCTAACAGATGATAATTAAAAAAACAATTTTAAAATTGCACTGCATCACATCCTGTTTAGCTTCTCACTCGAGTTAGGATTGGATGAGGAAAGCTTGGAGGTAAAGACATGAAATACTGAAATGAAATTCCAAAAATTTCTTAGGCAGAAACTTTCCTGGAGTGAGGAGAGGAATTCCTTACATGTTGGGAAAACAAATGTGAAAATTATCATGAAGGTGAACTTCCTGCAGATAACTCATTCCCTGGGCTTGCTTGGAGCTCTAGGTGAACTCCCTGTCTTTGAGCAGGAGTGTCTGTTACTGGGGTTTTCATTAGCAGAAGCATGGGGAGGAAATGAACTCATCTAAAAACTGGTGAGAATGCTCACCCTCAGGTCAACAAAAAGAGGACTTTTTGTGGGGCTATGAATTTTACATCTATGAGAATTTTGCTTCATTGTGATCTCAGAAGAACACTCTTGTGTCAAACATAACAGAAATCTGGCAAACCATGTCCTGTAGGCTCAGGAAGCCATATGACTCATACGCACAGACACACTCTTGCTAACATCCCAGGATGAATGTACCGATGATTGAATTTAAATGCATTTCTAGTGATCTCTGGCCTTCAGACCAAAATTGAGTTTTTCTCATTTCATGCTTGGAGTCAGTAAAGAACTTTTTGTCTTTGCAGAGTGAGGTACTGTCTTCCTACAGCAGTTTCCCTCCTGTGAGACTGTCAGCAGATCATGATACCTTGCCATCTCAAAATGATACAATAGCCAGGAATTTTGTGAAAATGCCCAGCACTGTATGCAGACAAAGGGCAAAATCCTGTGTTAACAGTAAATCTCCCTGTATTAGGACCGTTGAAGTATTCACTCTGCATTGGATGAACCGGGCAATGGAAACAAAAGGGCAGGAATCACAGAGCAATCTGAGCATCTGGTGATGACAGAAGACAGAAAAAGCATCCTGATCCAGCAGCAATGACAGCCCATGGTAGTGTGTCGCCTCTCTCTCTCTCTTTCCCCGAGATCAGAACTTGCCTCTAAACCTTACAGTTACATCCCACATCGCTGCAACTTTCTCAGAAA